CAATCTTCTAGCTGCTCTCCTGGTCTTGAGTCTCCTCCTCCTAAACCACCCTCTGTGTTATTGCGGAGAGCTTAGCAATACAAACCTGACCATGTTATTCCTATTTAAAACCCTTCAGTGACTTCCCACTACCTACAGGATCAAATCAAAATTATTCTGCACAACTCACAAAACCCTCCATAATCTGGCTTGCTTTGTTTCATTTTGCAATAGAACTGGAGCAGGCAAAATTCTTCTGTAAAGGATCATATGTTAAGTATTTCAGGTTTTGCAGGCCACAGGGTCTGTCACAACCACTCAACTCCACTGCTGTGGCGTGGAAGCAGCCACACACACGTACACCAGTAAGCCTGGCTGTGTTCCAGGAAAACTAGGCGTGAGCTGGATATGGCCCACGAGGTAGCCTGCCAACTCCGAACCACAGCTAAACCCCATTTTAAAATCTGCTAGATGTCTTCTTAAAACTCAATAAATGGAAACTGACCATTCTCCAATGAACTATTTTTCTTATGACAAAAAGGAGTCAGAGTGCTTATGATGACCATTTTAATCACAAGGTGTTAACATGTATATTAACACAAACTTCAGATGTCATAGAAACAGTTCCATAAAATTCAGAGATAACCAGTACTGGTGAAACTGGAACAAGCATTTTGGAGATTTCAATGCACTGGATGGAATTCTTCAAGAATTTCACTATAAGTTTTCTTATCTATAAAAAGAAAGATCACAAAAGATTTATTTTAAAATTGTTTTAAAAATCATATTTCCTAAAAATTAACACTTAATATTCTTATAGAAAGAAACCCCTAATAATTGCCTTATTTTCTAGTTCTCAACCATGGCTTGGCAATCACTAAGACATTTTGTTCCACTGAATGAAGATAACCTCGGAAAAATCTGTGGTGACTTCCAGATGGTTGGAGGGGCCAACGGCTGCCAGAGGGGTCCTGGCTGGTGAAAGAAGGAATGGGTAGGGAGGGGCAGGAGCTCAGATGGTCAAGCTCTCCATGCCTGCACTGTTGGTGCAAGAGGTTCCTGGCACACCTGCCAGTAACCTGCTGCTCAGAGAGAATAAGCCCGTGAGGCTATATACGCTCCTGCTGCCGGAGGGAGCTGGTGGAAACATGGAGGCGAAGAGCCAAAGGTCTGGGACTGAGGACTGCTCTGGCACTGGGTCTCTCTCTTAGGAATCAATATTCCCAAGATTCCTTCCAGCTCTCACATCCAGCAGTCCTGGGTACTCCCCAACACTGATACATCCACTATTTTTGGCTTTGTACTAGTCTTTGAGCTCTTCAATGGAAAAAAAACCCTATACCTTTCTGATCCTCTATAAACATGACATATGTGACTAAAGGCTATGAAAATATTAGAGCAATAAAATTTCAGAGCTAAATAGAACCTTCCAGATAACTAGTCTGATGAAATGTAAATGCTTACTATTACACATTTACATAAACAGGAAAATCTATTTAAAAATATATATATTTACAAGTTCAAAAATTTGCTAAACTCATTCCTTCATGTATGTGTATATCTGAATTGTCTATGTGTGTAAAATACAAACACGAAAACAGCTGAAATACAATTATATTCACAGCTGCACAAACATAAGTAGAGTGGACTGAGGAAACTCCTGTCTGTAGCTGGATGAAGGCTTCAGAGATGAGTTGAGCAAGAATCTGCTAGGTGCACAGGGGAAAGAGGGCAAGAGGAGGGTCAAGGAGGTACAGCGTGTACAGAATGATACAGGGTAGGTTCAGGACACAGCATTTCATGGGGCAGGAGATGAGGCAGGGCTCTGTGTAGCTGAGATCAGGCATTACTGATTAAGTGCCTACTATGTGTAGGCTCTGTGCTGCAGGCTGGGGAAACAAAGATGACGTCCAGTGAGGCACACAGCCTGTATATGTAATGGGGTGGAAACAAGGTATGGGTTAAGTGTTTCTACCAGGCAATTAGCTCAGCCTGGGAAAATAAGCCATCCGAGGGAGTCAGGATTTTATCCTAAAGGGAATGGATAGCTATTTTAAGCATATTCGTATTTATCCAGAGAGATTATCAGTGCCTGAACCAGAGTAGTGGCAGTGGCAGAGAGGAGAATTCAGAGCTGAGAATCATTTAGGGAGCAGAACGGTAAGACTTGATGACTAATGGGAAGTGAAAAGAGAAAGACTTGAAGATGATTCCCAGGCTTCTGGCTCGAGTACCCAGGTGGACAGTAATGCCACTCACTGAAGCAGGACACAAAAGCACAGGATGTCTGGGCAAGCAGAGGGGACCTGAGTTCAGTTTGCTGTCGGAGGGACACAGAGGTACTCAGCCAGAAACTGGATATATGAATTGAAGAGAATTCTGTTTTACAGACACAGATGTGGGAGTCAACAGAACATAGAAGGCACTGAAGTCACAGGCATGAATAAGATTAACCAGAGAAAATGATACAGAGTAAGAAAGAAGTTTTCTACAATTCACTTGAAATACCTTTATCAGGAAAATCCTCTGGATGTGACTTCATGTATGCAAACATATCGTGGTCCCTCGCAGCGTACATGTAGTCTTGACGTTTTAAAAGGTAATATCCAATAAAAACAAAGGAAGTAACATATAGTAGCTGGCGATGCAAACCTGAAATTCAACAAATCCCAAAGGCGGCAAAAATCAGTCATGTGTACTAAAAAAAATTAAAATTATACTTTCACATTTCAGACATATAATTTGTTATTTCTCCCAAAATTCTTTTTTAAAAATAGGCTTTTGTATATGGGTATTCTGACAGCCTTGACCTTGGGACATCTTCCTAAGGGATATCTGGCAATTATGAGAGCAACATTAAATCTACAAAATAACTATTCAACAGAACCCAAGATTTTTAAAAGTCAAGTTTTTTAAGTTTCTTCAAGGAAAACGGTAGATAAGTACAAAACCTGAATGGTAGACTGAGAACAGGGGGAAAAGTTATTCTTTTTCAATAAGTTAACTTTAGACCTAGACAAACTTGTATTCCAAGAAGTGTTCTGGATATGATGAGTAGAGGTAAAGTCCTCTGCAAATGGTCTAAAAGCAATTTGGTTTGTCTGCATATATTGATTCGTATTTGATATTTAGTGGTTACTGAAACAGTACACGATACTACATATGGAATCAATGTATGTCAGTTCTCTTTTGTATCTTCTACAGCTTGTAATTTTGCATGTACTACCTATTCAAAAACTATCTTAAAAAAATCATCCTATTGTAATGAGGATTACATCTGAAGGGGAGATCCAAAGATATGAACTTTATATAGAAAAAAAAATTTTTTTTAACAAAAGGCGAACTGCAGATTTTCTAGCTACGCCCCAGAATTCTATCCCTAGGCCTCTTCTTATCCTATACATCTTCCTTTGGAGAACTTGTTTATTCCTATAGTTTTCTCTATTATCCATGTGCTGGTGACCCGTAAGTATATCAAACTCAGACACCCATGCTGAACAACAGACATATTCAAATGTTTGACACATTCAACTGAATACCCTTAAACAAACTCAGTTTCTTTACATTCATACCTTTTTTCCTAAGTCAGAGAGTGAGACCATTTACCCAGGAATCCAAGTCCTGGATATTAAATACAGTAAAATCCCTTCTTTTCCACCCTCTTTCCCCACATCCAGTCACTGAGTCCTGTTATTTCTACCTTAGGAATATTTCCTTTCCTTACTTCAGGGAACTTATGCTCACTTATACTAACTGGTCTCCCTTTCATCTCAATTTCCACTCCATATTCATCACAGCTGTCACCCTGTCACTAGAGGAATTTTTACTAAAATACAAACCTAGCTTGTCAATGCCTTCATCAGTACACCCAACAGGACCCCAAACTCCTGCATATGACCTCCCAGACCCCTCACAAGCTTACTCTTCCTCCTTCATTTTCTGACACTCCCTGATATGCACACTGTGCTCAGCAATACTGAACTGCTTTTAATTCCTCATACATTCTAGGCTCCTTCAAGCTTCTATATACTAAGCACTGATTACTTCTCTGCCCAGCAACTTCCTCATCCTTCAAGACTCAACTTGGACATCACTTCTGCTAAGAAGTCTTCCCAGAACTTTCCTGGATTTAAAAGGGTGAACTCATGTCTATTAACATGTAAGTTGCTTTGGTAATTATTTCTCTACTACCAGGCAAAGCCAATGTTTGGTTCATCTTTGTACACCAGCACACAGAGAGCACTTAATACATATATAATAAATGGATAGATGGCCTTGGGCAAATCAATTTACTACCTTTAAAACAAAGATAATACCTAACCTATCTTTCTCACAGTAGTTATTACAGTGTTTTAGAAAAATTACAAAACAATAAAAATGTAAAATATTACTATGATCTGGGGCAGAACAGGGTCCAGGCTCTTTTGCATTCTCCCTTACCCCAAACAGCCTCTGCTTCCCCTAATGGGCCACCTGCAATACAGTACACCAAAATGTGCTGGGTTCTCCCAGGTGCCATTGGACTACACAGATACAAAGACCCAGACTCTCCGTGCTTACTCATATCCTCACAGAGGAAGACTCGATAAATAATTCTGATAATATCAGTGTTCTCGCCCCCAAGGCATGGCTTGGCCTCTTCCCAGGTCCCCATTTCCCTAGCCTCTTCTCTCTCAGCAGTGGTCTCCCTCTCATCACAAACACAACCCCTCCACAATCATTTCTCTCTTCGTTCCTTTACTGAGTGAATCTAAACCTGGATGTCATGGTGCTCTCTGCAGAACACCATAAATTACTGATATATTAAACTAGAAATTCAATAAATATTTAATTCTGTGGACTACATTTAGATACCAACTAACTCTATATTTAGGGCAGGTAAATGGTAACCAGCAACAAAGGTTTAAAAATAGGTGATGGGAGAGAAGCTTAAGAACAAATTCTATTTAATATTTTCTGCTAACTTGAAAAAGAGCTGCACAATTTTATTTCATTGATAGAATATTCCAACACTACCTACAGAATGCTCGGTACTCTCCATGGCCATAGTTGGAAACTCCACCATGTGTCTCTTTCCCTACTTTTCCAACTTTATGTGCATAAATTCGTACCACAATTCATCTTTTTAATAGATATCCTCATCTGATTTGTAAATCTGTGAAGGATTGGAACCATGTTTTATATTTCACTGTAATCTACACATTCATTCAATAAGTACTTATTGAGCATTACTATATGCCAGATATTGAACTAGGTAAACAAATATCCATTCAATAAATGCTGCTGAGGATAACTATTTCAATAAAGTCCTCAAACCTAAACTTTCCAAAGTAACTAAGGGAAACCCAGGTAACTTAGGAACTGACCCCCAGCCCTTGACTAAGTGCTTTACATCCATCATCTCACCTAGTTCTCACAACCACACAAAGGTAGATATTATCCCTATTTTATAGATGAGGAAACTAAAGCTCACAGAGATAAGTAACTTCCTCGGAATCAAGTGGCTAGCCACAGGGAGGTGGTGTCAAAACTAAAGCATGTGCTCTTAACTACTATGCTCTTCTGTCTCCCAGGAAAGGCACAAAACATTGTTTGGCAACAATGAGGTGAGGTTAAGTGGTATATCCGTCACATTTCAGCCAATCTTCACTTCCTCTGGAACAGTATCCCTCTGAGCTGAACCTCCTTCCTGCTCCCAAAGCACTCTCTGCTCACCCACCTCTATCAAAACATGTATCTGTCACACCAAGACCCATACCTGTCCCTCCCCTCCAGCTCCCAACTAGACCAGTTCCTCAAGGGCAGGGCAGTATTCCTCCCCCTATATAGCAGATGAGTAACACTGCTTGGCACAGAGAAAGAGCTCAGTTAAGGGTGAACATACATATGATAAACTGTGTAAAAAGAGCTAAGGAAAGGGAAACTGTTCAGCACCTTCTGTGTGCCAGGCATTTACCTATAGAATCTCACTTAATTCTCACAAAAAAGTATGCAAAAATGAATTATGTAAAAACAAATTATTCAAGTAACTTGCCCAAGGTGACATGGTTAGGCAGCAATGGAGCAAGGCTATTTAGTACCAAAGTGGAGCTCTTTCCTTCATACCAAACAGGCCTGGGCAAATGTGGAGTAGTGATAAAAAGAGAGAACACTCCATGTCCCCAGTGGCAGAAATGGACAAAGATCACTCCTTTCTGTGGAGTGGGATCATATCCAAGGCAGATGAGATTTCAAGTCTAACTGAGCATTAGAAGTGATAAGATTTGGAGGGCTGGGAGTCGACCTCCAGGCCTGACATACAGCTGGAAGAAGGCAGAAGAGGCACACGTGTGGTGATTCCTGGTTGCCTGAACCACTGTATTAGCTTTCTTCCTAACTGGGCTCCTTAGCGCCAATCAGTTTCACATTGTTGACAAAGATGACCTTTTAAAATACAGGTCTGATCACTACACTTCCCCTGACAATTCTGAAAAACATGTGAGATTCCTGTCTGCTTACAGAATAAATTACCATGATCTACCTAGATCTTTTGTTGCCTTATCGCCCTACTCTGCACTCACTCATCAACTGCCCCCGATTCAGGTGCTTTTGCCCCCATTCAGTCCCACTTGCCTCCCATGGGCCTGGAAGGCTCTCTTCAAGTAACTGACAGATCAAAACTAAGTTCAAACACAACTTTTATAAAGTTTTTCTCTTTTCCCTTTGTAAATCCATAGCCCTTAGCACAGTTACTGTGTCACCTATTATCAGTGTTGGTCTCTGACAGGTGGGCCACTGACTTTCTAGGAAATACAGCCCAGTGGTTTAGAGCCTCCTACTCAATGTGAGGTCCCCAGACCTCACATCTGGGAGTTGGTTAACATCAGGCATCCAGATCTAACGAATCAGAATCAGCATTTAACATGATCTACAAGCTATTAGTATGCACATTAAATCTGAGATGTGCAGGTTTTGAATACAGACAGGTTAAAAACAGACGGTGCTACTTACTATCCATATGACCTTGGGCAAGCTGCTTTAACCTCTCTAAGGCTCTGTTTCCTCACTGTAAATAATACCTCCCCACAAAAGGTGTTTGAAGATTAAGTGCTATAATGCACACAGTGTTAAGCAGTGCATTGCATCGATTGATCATTCATTCTTGCACATCCCACAGAGCGAACTGGGGGGCGGGGGAGCAGGCAAATTCAGTCTCGGGTCTTTCGGAGACTCACTGTGAGGTCGTGGGTTGCACTGCACCTCAGTTTCCTGAAGTACCAAATGATACTCTGGCCCGGCCCCGTTCTGAGAAGCTCACGGGGGAGGGGAGGCGGGGCCTGTTGGGCGAAAAGGCCCTGAAAAGCCGAGGCACCTCAGGCAGCCTAAGGCGGAGCCGGCGCTCAGTCCTGCGACCCCCTCTTTCTCTCAGCAGATCCCGCCCGCGCAGCCCTCACCCGCCGACACCACCGGCCTCCGCCGGATCGCGTTATCAATCAGGCCGGAGCAGTAGCCCAAGAAGCCGACGTAGGCGAGCCGCGGGTCAGTCAGCTTGGGCGGCGGCAGGCTCCGGGCCTCATCCGGCAGGAGCTGTAAGGGCATTCGGCTCGGCCGTCCGCTCATCATGGTGATGCCGTTCTCACTTGAGGCCTGACCTCAGACCGCCAACTACAAAGAAAACCAGCACAACCACTGCCGGGGCACAAGCCACTAGCTTTCTCCTCCGAGCGCGGGTCTGAAGGGCATGACACAGGGCGGTGCAGCGCCCAAATGCTTCCCCTAGCGCGCTCCTGCCGGAAACGCGCGCGGGAGGTTCCGGGTCACTAAATGGCCTACATGGCTCTCCTGCCGGCCGGCGCTAACTCTACCGGAGGGATTTCGGGTGCTTGGTACCTGGGGTCGAAGAGTACAGGAAGCGAGCCAAACGGGGAGACTGCGTGATGCTTTTTTTGGGGTTATCCTTCTCTACTTGCAATTACCTCTCCTTCCCCCGCCCTGGAATGTTCCTTCAGCAGGAATTTAATTTTTCATCCAACACCCACAAGTGGACTTGATGGTTAGTTTTAAAAAATGTAATTGAGATCTCATAAAAGCTAAATTTTCTGGGTTTCCCGTGGTTCATTCGCACAGGCATAGCCTCCACAAAACCTAAAATTAAGCTCCAGCCAGCCATAAAAAATTCGGAGAACCCCAGGGCTCGAACATTTATTAAAACTCTCCAGATTCATCCTGAGTCTTCAGGTCCTTGTACGGGGCTGAGGGACGAGGTGTTTCCTAAAGTTTCGAGGAATGAAAAAAAGAAGGAATCTATAACGTTCTGTCAAGTAATTGTCCAGTCTCTGCTCACCTGCCTCCAGTACTAAGGAGCTCGGATCTTTGAACCCTCTGTTGAGAATGCCCTTCCTGATAAGGAACTAAAATGTCTTCTTTTCGTGTCCATTCATTAGTGGAATCAACATTTTATCTAAAGGAGTGCCTATTAAACCAGAGGTTAATGCAAAGTTATATGCATCAAAAGCATTGATCTCCAAAGCGGAAGAATTAAGTATCAGTTAATAAAAGATGGGCCTTTTATGCCTGCAAAGAGCACTTCCAGATCTGTAGTATTTTCAAGTTAGGATTTTCCAAAGGAATATATATTGGAACAATTTCCTGGAAGGCAGCAAATGTTTCAGAGGTTCACACTCTTTGACCCAGTAATTATGTATTTGAGAATGTGTCCTATGTAAATACTAGTATGATATATGAAAAAGCTTATTTGCAGTCTTTTTTTTAAACTATAGTGTTTCTTTTAAAATTATATCAAAGCAGGGAAAAATCACTAATAATCTACCATAGGATTATGTAAAATTTGAATACTAGATGAACTATTAGGCAAATACTTAAATATTTAAATGATGTGAACATATTCTCCCCTACATTCTTCTGGGTCCAATCTCTCTCTTTTTTATAAGAAAAAACATACCCAAAACCAAACAACAGTATATCCATGTTCTACCATCCAGAATCAATAATTGTTAATATTTTGTCATACTTATTTTATTTTTTATTGAAGTATAGTTGATTTACAATGTTGTTAGTTTGCAGTGTACAGCAGTGATTCCATTTTATATATATATATGAAACCAAATCATATATATATGTATGTACATATACTTTTTCAGATTCTTTTCCATTATAGGTTATTACAAGATATTGACTATTGTTCCCTGTGCTATACAGTAAATATTTGCTGTTTATCTGTTTTATATATAGTAGTGTGTACCTGTTAATCCCGTACTTTTAATTATCCCTTCCCCTCTTACCCTTTGGTAACCATAAGTTTGTTTTCTATGTCTGTGAGTCTGTTTCTTTTTATAAATAAGTTCATTTGCATTACTTTTTAGATTCCACATATACGTGATATCATATAGTTGTCTTTGGTTTACTTCATTTAGTATGATAATCACTAGGTCCATCTATGTTGCTATAAATAGCAATATTTCATTCCTTTTTATAGCTTAGTAATATTATATTATATATATTTAATGGATATATATATTTATTATACATACATCCAATAATATATACATCCTATATATACGCCACATCTTTACCTTTTAATGGATATATATATATAACTTTTTATGGATATATATATATATATATGTATACACACACCATATCTTTATCCATTCATTTGTTGAAGGACAGTTAGGTTGCTTCCCTGTCTTGGCTATTGTAAATAGTACTGCTATGAATTAAGAGTTTTCATCTTTTCTGGATATGCGCCCAGGTGTGGGATTGCTGGATCAGGTCATAACTATTATTTTTAGTTTTTTAAGGAACCTCCATCTGTTTTCCATAGAGGCTGCACCAATTTACATTCCCACCAACAGTGTAGGAGGGTTCCCTCTTCTCCACATCCTCTCCAGCATTTATTATTTGTAGAATTTTGGATGATGGCCATTCTGACCAGTGTGAGGTGGTACCTCATTGTAATTTTGATTTGTATTTCTCTAATGATTAGTGATATTGAGTTGTCATATTTCTTTTAAAGGGAAAAAAACACTAAAAGATAAAGATCCCTTTCCGGTCTTCCCCAGAGACAATCATTATCAACAGTTTAGTGTATATACTTCCAGTACCCTTTTTATATTTTTAAATATATTTAGTATTGTGTTCCGTGTACTTAAAAAGCTTTTTTTAACCTAAATAGTATGATTCATTGTTCCTGTTTTTTGCTGACTTTCATAATTCCTTATAGTGTTTTTGAGATATATTTATTTTATTTTTTTGATGGGGGAGGTAATTAGCTTTATTTATTTATTTAACGGAAGTCCTGGGGATTGAACCCAGGATCTTGTGCATGCTAAGCACACACTCTACCACTGAGCTATATCCTTACCCCTTGAGATTTATTTTTGATGATACAGAAAGATCAGGTCCATTCCTTTTGATTACTGTATGATATTTCATTATATAAATATGTCACATTTTATTCATCCATTACCCTTTTGATGACATTTAGGTTGTTTTCAATTTCTTTTTCATCTACCTAAGTCTATTCTCCAGAATCTAGGGCCAAGACAAACTTTTGCACATGTGTACCTGGACTAAGAGATGTATAAAAATATACACAGGAATAATATCCATTTGTAATAGCCCAAAACTGCAAACATCCATTAAGAACTGAATAGATGACTAACACTAAGTTGTGGTGTTTTCATACAAAGGAATATCCATGCATCAGTATGATGAATCTCAAAAAAGAGGTTCATGTTAAAGAAGAGAATAAGAGATCAGAGAAAAAGAGAAAAGTTACAGGAGAATAAATGATTCCATTTACATAAAGTTCCATATTAGGCAAAAATATATTGTTTAGAGACACACATATTAGTGTGTAGCATAATGTCCTTGAAGTTTATCCATGTAGTTGAATGTGACAGAATTTCCTTCCTTTTAAAACCTACATAATATTCCACTGTGAAATGTATATAATAAATTTTATCTATCCATCCATCTGTTGATGTCCATTTGGGTTGCTTCCACCTCTTAGCTATTGTGAAATGATGCTACAATGAAAATAGATACGCAAATATCTCTTCAAGATCCTGCTTTGAATTCTTTTGGATATACACCCAGAAGCAGGATTGATGGATCATATGATCATCCTATTTTTGATGTTTTGAGGAAATAAAAAATAATTTTCTCCAGCTTTATTGTGATATTACTGACATAAAACATATGTAAGTTTAAGGTGTACAGTGTGATGATTTGATACACGTATATACTGCAAAATGATTACTACAATAAGGTTAGTTAACAGCCATGGTCTATTTCTGAACTCTGTTTTGTTCCACAGATCTCTCTGCCAAATGCAGTACCTATAATACTAGTAACTATAGTTTTGTAATATTCTTTTGTATCGGTATGGTGTGTCAACTACATTTTTTTCAAAAACTAGCTGAAAATAAATATTAGCTATTATTATTACTATTTGTACACCTCTACTCATCCTCATGATTTTAAAATCACCTTGTCACTTTCCCTGAAAAATCTCAGAGATTGGGGTGTTGGTTGGAACTGCACTGAATTTATAGACTAAAATGTGGAGACTCCATTTATTTAAAATGCTGAACTTTCTCATGCATTAACACGATATATATTTCTCCATTTATTTAAGTTTTCTTTTTTTAACCCTCATTAAAACATTATAATTTTCCCCATAAAATTCTTACACATTTTTATTAGTTCATCTCTAGGCATTTATGGTTTCTGGTACTGTTGTGACTGACATCTTACATTTTATTACCTTTTCTAAGTGGTGAATTAGAATGTTGCTTTTATATCCAGCAATCTCTCTAAACTCTCATTAATTCTAATAGTATTTTCACTTGATTCCGTTGGATTTCCCCACATCCTTGGCAACCCTTGCCCGTTGCCATTGCCAAACTCTAATCTATTAATGGAGATGTTATTTCATTTTTGTTTGCCTTTCCTTGATTATTTGTGAAGTTGAATATCTTTTCATATTTATTGGCTATTTCAGCTTCCTTTTCTGTGAATTAACTGACTATCTTTTAGCCATCTTTCTTTTGGATCATCTTTACTGGATGATTTGTAGAAATTTCACACATATACTTAACACTAATGAAAGTTACTGTTTTTATGTAGTCAGATTTATTCATTTTCCCCCTTTATGAACTGTGCTTTTTGTGTCTTGTAAAACAAATCTTGTTCATCCATTATAAGGTCTTTCTGTTCTCATCTTCAATTAAATTACCTTCATGGAGAACACCAGTGACCTCCGTATTACCACACCCAATGATGACAATTTTACTCAACATCGCAGCAGCATTTGGCACAGGTGTCCTTTCCATCCTTTCAATTAACACTCTCTTCCTCCAGCCTCCAGGACACCTATACTCCTAATTTTTCTCTTGCTTCACTGGCTTCACTTAATTTCCTCTGATGTCTCCTCTTTTTATTTTCAGATGAACATTCTGCAAATGTTAGGTTTCCTCAAGTCCTGTCCTGGGGCCTCGTCTCTTTATTATCTATTCTCTTCCCTTAAATGATTTATCTACTCCCTTGGCCTAATTGCCATGAATATAGTGATGACTCAAACATGCTCTAGCGTAAATGCTCTTCTGAGTTCAAATGATAAATCTACTCACCTACTTGACATCTTCACCAGGATCTCTCACAAACATTTCAAATTAAGTCTGTCCAAAAGAAAACTTTTTTCGCATTGAGAAGATTAAAACATATTTTCAAGTGCAAGAAATAAT